GCTCCCGCCCGGCAGCCGCTCCCGCCGCCCCTGCCCGGGGGCCGCTGCGTGCCCAGGGCGCTGCGGGGCGCGGGGAGCCCCCGCAAAATGGGGGGTTGCATCTGCCTGCCCTCCCGCTCGCCCTCTCTGCCCGCAGAGGCTTTAAGCAGCACGGATCTCTCAGGCTTCTGCTGTGCTTTCAAAGGAAGGTGCGAGTTTACAAACGCATCCAGGTGTGTTCGCTCTCACACCCACACTGGACCCGGTGCTAGCAGTGGATCCGTAACGAGCGTCTTATACGGTGTGGCTTCACTCAGCTAAAACAAACCTGTCAAGGGAATAGGAGAATAGCTGTTTGATGCCACACAGAAACCCAGCATCAGTGGATGTGTTTAGTTCTGTTAACCAAACTCTGACCAACACCGAACCTTCTTCAGAGGACACAGTTCCCTGTGATGTCACCCGCTCCTTCCTTAGCGGTAGTGACGAATAACTGTGGGGAAAATGCTGCCAACAGTTTGCTTGAGGCGTGTGGAACACCTAATGTCACTACTTTTTGTCCCATGGTAATCTTTCACACGTTTCACATGCATACAGACACCCACAGGAATAGGCATCTGGTTTGGTGTGGTGATGAGAACTCAACTGTTTTTAAAATAGTTTAATTACTGAATGTTCTTGCAACAAAAAATGTGTGTTTATTATTTCATGTATCGACATTGAGACTGTTCCATGGTTACACACTTGTAAATATTTTGGTATTGGATTCTCATGTGATTTTAAAGTTTCTTTTAAAATTGACATTGATGTGTTGTCTTTCCAGGGTGAATTGTTAAATCCTTGCCGCTGCGATGGGTCGGTACGGTACACACATCAGCTTTGCCTGTTAAAGTGGATAAGTGAAAGAGGGTCATGGACCTGTGAACTCTGCTGTTACAGATACCATGTTATAGCAATTAAAATGAAAAAGCCTTGCCAGGTAATTTCTTTCCTTATTTGCTTGTATATTTTTAAAAATACTTATTTTTAGTCTTTTTAAAAAATGAAATACTACTTACTTTCATATCTTTTTTGAAAAATCTAAGCAGAGCCTAAGTACTTTACCAGTTAGCATCAGCACTCACTTGAAGTTAGTTTTTAAGAGAAGCCGTATTCAAGCTATGCAGTTGTTTGGTTCTAGAAGGTTCTTTTAGCTTTTGGCTGAGAAAGAAATGGCCTTTGGAGATTGCTAACCCCTTTTGTTAGATAAGTCATACAGAGCACAACACAGAGTAACTTGGATCCACCTGCTTCTAGGTCTAAACTTTCTGGTGCCCCAAGGTAGTCAAAATATCTACACAGGGATGGCAGGGATAGCACAGAGATTCTGTAGGAGATTCTGGAGCAGCAGCTGCAGGATGAATGGGATACCAAAGTATATCTCAAGTGTTGCTACATACATACCTGTGGACTGCAGAAGAAGCCCCAGTTTGAAAAGCAGCTATTCCACTCCTGTGGAAAACAGAAGCAAAAGAGAAATAAATTTTCAATGGGTGACACAGTAGGCAACTATTTACGGCCAAGTTGCAAGTGAAGTAGGAACCTGAAGAGACAAAAAATAATGCCATTCCCTTCATAGATTATTGCATTTTTTAAAACAGTAGATTCGAGTGTCTCTTTTTAAATAGATTCAGATCTTGGGTAGATCAAAAAAGACTTGATTTCTTCTAAACCTTAGATATATTCTTTTTTTTTGTATTTAAATCTGCCTGTCCTTTATTATGCTTGATAAAATAGCATGCAAGATTTCATGGAGCTGCATACTCAAATAGGTTACACCTGCCCTCACACATTGTGTGTCTGAAACTCAAAAGGTCATGCAACTTTTGGGAGGTATGCAGTAGTACCTTTCTTCTATCACTGAAAATTTTTCTTCTTGTAGTTACAGTAACTACAAGGAAGTCTCAAAACTGCAGTCCTGTGTGTATTTTTATAACGGCGATTAATCTTAACATGCCCTCACTTCTCTCCTACACTCTTGACTATATTAGTATTGCCTATTTTTAACAGTTCCTTTAGTAAGCTTTTGGACAGACACTGGATCATTTGCTTTACTAGAAAAAAAAAGTATTATTAAGTCCTTTTAGGTTTTGGTTAAAAACTAATGACCTGATAATGATAATCTGGAGATATTTTACAAATCTTTTATTGACACAATTAGGTAAATAATGCACTTAAAAATTCTTGAGCAAGACTAGTTACATTGTATTAGACACAATATTTGGACAGGAATAGTTTAGCTAGCAGTGTGCCTCAGCCCTTGTCGTTAGAAGTACCACTGTTGATCTTTTACTAATTAGATCGTGTAGGCAGTGTCATAAGAATAAAAAGGAGGTTATTTACCAAAGTAACTTTTTCTCAAATTAGTTCTCTATGCAGATTTACACCAGCTTCAGATTTACTTTTACTTGAAATGTTTGTAGAATCTGGCAATGCTTAGGGAGTTTGGAAGTAGAATTTTTTTCTACATTTTCTTCCAAAGTATTGGAATACATGTGAAGATTCCATCTAATATTTAACATTTTGTATAGTAGAGAAAATAATCCCAAAATTTATTATGGTAAGTGACCTCTCCCTATGGAAGTCTTCTCACTGTCCCTGTGTACATTTCAGCAACTGCTAGTTAATTACTTTTTAAGGACCTAATCTTAGAAACATGTGGGCTCATAATATAGATCTAGATCTTAAAACATGAAAATAATTAAATGAACCAATTGGCTGCCAGTGGGAGATGAGCGCACAAACAAGTTGATGACATTTGATAGGCTGCTTCATAGAAAAAAGCAAAATGAACTTTTCAGCATCCTTCTCAGGATCATATCTTATTAGAGAGATAGATATAACTGTTAACTAATCTGTTAACGAAAACACCTGTTCTTCTTGCTGGACTTGGTCCTTAGAGTAGGACAGAGTTTGATCCAATAATAGACCGGACCTTCTGTTAAGACCTAACAAGAAAATATCTCTAATGAGGCCAGAATGAAACAAACACTGTTTTGGGCCAGGAGCTTTGAAAGACTTTTGAGATGCCTTAAAAATAAAAGATTTTTAAATGTCTGTCTTGGAAATTAAAACTACCTAAATTTTTATTTTATATTAACAAAGATAAAACAGCACCATCAAGAATGTTTTTGATATTAATTTGCTATGCCATTATAATTTGTAAGATTTTCTCTTTTTAAAGGGCATATAAATAAATTGCTTTCTTTTTATTTATGCCATCTAATTATTAAGCTGTTAGTAAATTAGTTCACTAGACTTGCAGTCTTGTAAATTGCAGAGTGTCAATTCTATTATAAGGTTCAGAAATAATACTTGAAGTGGAATATAGTTATAAAAGGGTTGAGAAAAAATATCTTTGATGCTAAATGCTATCATTATTAAAATGTAAATAAAGTATATTTAAATAATGTTATTTTTATACTCTTACTGTAGTCAGTCATAATTATGTGAAATATTTAGCACATCCTGTGCTTCTGTTCATTAACACGTTATATTCTGGTAGTTTAGGTGAATTGGACCCTGTTGTAAAAGTGATATAATGTGCTGATTTGCTAATTTAGAAGTTCATTATATGACAATTTGATACTTTCTTGGCATCAGGAAGATGTCAAAACAAGGAGTTATTTAAATGAAAAGTAAATCTTTAATTATTCAGTTTGATATTTGAATATAGGCATAAAATGCAGGATGTAGTTACGATTATTTTAGCAAGTTTTTAGTTACTTGAGGTGGAATGTAGCTCATTAGTTCAGTGGTTTACAATGGTCCTAAATGTGATTAACATTTGGAATATTTGGCATAAAAATCAATATGTTAAACAAATTCTGTGAACTGCATGTTCAATTTTTCTTGTTAATCTGAGTAGTTCTCACTCATTAGAGTTAGCTCACTGGCATAAGTTAGATGCCTGGGAGCAAGACCTTTAGCAGCCCGTGTGTGTATATGCTTTATAGTAAAAATGCAGAAGTTGTAGAGGTCTGCAGATATTTCAATATTGAGGTCAGTGTTCAGAAAAACATTTAGAAAATTTTCATAGCTATTGCTAATGACTGTGCTCACCTGGTTACAGACATTTTCTTATTGTAGGGCACAACTGAAAAAGGAGGAGGAGGAGAAGGCTCAAATAGTGAATTGTACTTTTAAACCTAAACTATCTACTAACAGTAGTTTGCTTATATTACTGATAATAAAGTTCCTGAAGTTAAGATCCAGGAAGATACTTCATGCTATGCACTATGTCAGTACACTGAAAGAACAAAAAGGATGGTCCCAACCTTAGTCAATTTATAAAGAAGTATAAACAAAGGAGTAGAGACAAGGGCTATATAAAACCCATCAAAAGAGCAGCAGTCTCTGTACACTAATAATTTTGAGTTTTTGGCATCTCAGATGGGGATGAGTTTTAAAATGCCTCTTTTAAAGGAAATAATGAGGCTTTGCAGACAACTCTTAAATGAGAAGGCAATCTGGGAGAACTGGTAGAAAATGTAATACCTATCTGAGCTAGATATCCTGTACTCAGATGAGAGAAGAGAGATGCATCTCAGTAGTCATTATTAAAAGATAGTTAATAGGTCAGTAAACTCATGCAAGGACTTTTAGAGTAGCCAAGTCTTTCCTGTGATATGTTGGGGAGCAGGACAACTAGCACAGGGATGAAAGGAGGGCAATAACATGGTCAAAGTAATGGACTAAAATAAAACTATATTTGGACCAATCTTGTGGCTGCTGAGGGAATCATATTTGTCAAGAGCTTATAAAATTATATTACAGTATTTAAGAAAGAAGATGAAAATTATGATGAGAAATTAAATTTGTATATGTGAGCAGTCTTAGATATGTTCTGTGGAAAGCATCCACAAGTTTTAGGAAGATCCAAACAGAAGTTTAAATTTAAGATAATACCTGGTTTACAGAACAGATTGATAGATTGAAGAGTGAATCCATACTGCTTGAGAAAGGATGGAATACGGAGACTGTCATGATTTAAAACCTAATTTACATTAAACTTATGTCAAAAATCCAATGAGTAAGTCCAATGAGGAGAGAAAACATTCCTCTAAGGAATCAGAATGGTCACATGCATAGGACTTGAAGTTATTAGGAATGAACATGGGAGAATAGACAGTTAAGAATTAAAATTGGAAGGTAAGGTTGAAATAGAGATGGTTTGAGTGCACAGAACCTTGAAAGAAGGGGAATGATTTAGTTAAAGGGAGGCCTATAAGAAAGCAGAGAAATAAAGCTGGAAAGAGAATTAGGACAGAACTGCAAAAAATGGGCAAACAAAGTTTCAAAATCTATAATTGAATTCAGAGACCTGAAGGTTCCTAGTTTATTTAGGATTTTAACATTATGTGACAAAAAATATGCTTCTCTAGTTGGAATGGATGAAGATTGAAGTGGAGATACAGAAGGTAAAATTAATATTTAGAATTTTGCTAGAACAGCTGTACAAACACCAGCAAACACTCGAGATCAGTTTTCCAGGGTCTTTCTGTGTTAGTGCTTTGCTAGATAGAGCATTTGATCAAGGTTGATATATCTCAGCTGATTTATCTCTTACTTGTAGTCTCCCTCAGGAGGCTGCATCATTCTAGCCAGAGCATCAATTACAGCACGCAGGGAGTTAGGCAGGCCTCCCTTATGTTTACATTGGTCTATCTAAGATAGGGGAATATCAGTAAAAAATAAATTAGGCAAAAAAATGTGTTTATGTAGCATAGAGAACAATTCTGTATTACTCTGTGGTAGTGTACTCCTTGCCTTCTTGTATGACAAGAGCACAATAATGAAAGGACTATGTGACCTCAGTTCTTCTAAAGTCCTTGCTTGAGCCAGAACACTCTCTTGGCATTGTGAGTTTTGCCTGCAAGACTATAGGGTTCTTCGTTTTTTCTTTAATTTATTGCACCTTTCTTTTATTTGTCTTTATAT